CACACTGCCGGCTCATGCCCAGCTTACCCACCATTACCACCAGGTTCTTCTCCTCAGGGCTGTTCTCAATCCCTTCATCTCCCAGCCTGTATTGATCCTGAGGGTTGCCCCAACCCAGATGCAGGACCTTGCATTTGGCCTTGTTGAACTTCCTGAGGTTCACACGCTCCCACTTCTTGCACTTGTACAGGTCCCTCTGGATGGCATCACGTCCCTAACTTGTGTCAGCCGCACCACGCAGCTTGGTGTCATCTGCAAACTTGCTGAGGGTGCGCTCGATCCCACTGTGTATGTCACTGATGTAGGTATTAAACAGTACTGGTTCCAGTATGGGCCTCTGAAGTTCAGGTAGACAACTTCAAGCTTACAGAAACAAACCTTTCAGATAAGCTGGCAGACAGAGAAAGGCTGAAAGCAGAAAATTAATTCAGTGGAATAAACCCTCCTCAGAACTGTAGAGTTGCAAAGTGAAGGGTGTGACACTGTTTAAGGATGGGAATAATTTGGCAGTGTTGAGGACAGATGAATATGACAGGTTAACCTGACAGTAGGGCTAGGGTGGCCAGCAGTGAGAGTCGTAGATATAAAGAAGGCTGCTTCAGCCTTCACCAGGTACTCTGATTAAATACACTTAAATGGACTGTATCTATTGAACTTCAACAAAATATTTGTTCTGTGTGATTCAGAAACTCCTTCTGTTATTTCCTGATCCATGCTTTACTGCTATTATTCTTTCTATAGATTTCCGGGTATACTTCTCAACTACCTGAAGCCATGAAGTCCTGGTATGATATATTACCAAAGCTCATGGCATTGTTGCAGTCAGAGGGCATAGTAAAAACAAAAGGGACCCAGGGCAAAAATCTGACTGTGAAATGTGAACCCTCTCCATAAAAAGGCAGTGGAAAAGCTGGAAAAGTGTGTGGCTGCAGGCAGGAGGAACAGAGCAGCTCTAGTAACAAATTATTGAACAAATCACGCCCTAGTAAAGATGTTGCTTATTGAGCTCCAGAGCTAACACATCAGAAGGGGCAGCAAGCTAGAAGCCTCTGAGCTTTTGCACTGACATGAATCGCAGAATCATGACATGGAGGGTCCTCTGAGGATCACCTAGTGCAGCCCTTCTGCCCAAAGGAGGGTGAGCTACGGGCGGGTTGCCCACGTCAACACACTGAGACTTCACAGCCCCTCTGGGCAACCTGGGCATGTGTTTGACCACCCTCACAATAAAATATTTTCTTGTGTTCAGATGGAATTTCGTATGTTTCCGTTTGTGCCCATTGCCTCTTGTCCTGTTTCTGGGCACCGCTGAGAAGGGCCTGGCTTCCTCCGTCTTAGTAGTTCTGCACTGGACTCATTCCGGTAGCTCCACATCTCTCTTCTACTGGGGAGGCCCAAACTGGACACAGCAATCCAGGCGTTCCCACCCCATGAGTGCTGAGCAGGGGGAAGGATCACCTCCCTTGACCTGCCAGCAGTGCTCCTCCTAATGCTGTTGAGGACCCTCAGGTCCTTCTCTGCAGAACTGTTTTCCAGCACATCAGCCCCAGCTTCTCCCGGTGCCTGGGGTTATTCCTCCCCAGGAAAGGGGACTAAAGCTGAGCCTGGGAAGAAGGGAGGGGTGGGGGAAAGGTGTTTGTAAGTTCTGGTGTTCTCTCTCATTAGCCTACTCTGATTTGATTGGTAATAAATTAAACTAAATTCCCCAAGTTGACTCTGTTTTGCCTGTGATGGTAATTAGTGAGTGATCCCTCTGTGAGTGAGTAACCCCTCCCTGTCCTTGTCTTCATGTACCAGCCTTCCCTTATATTTTCTCTTCCCTGTCCAGCTGAGGAGGGGAATGACATTGCAATTTAGGTGGGAACATGGTGTCTAGAAAGAAGGGGAGACAGAGAGAGGGAGATTTAGAAAACACAGCAATTTGATGAAAATTAAGAACCTAATCTGGTTTTTTTTTTAATTTATCATGATGCAAAATCTCTGCAACTCATGCTCAAGTTAACTTAAGCTCAGGTTCTCAGGTTGGGTTTGGATGTTGTTTCTTCTTTCTTTCTTGTACAAATACTTAGTAATCCTCAAAAATTCCATGGTGATTTTTGCCTGTGGCTTCTCCTGATGCTATTCTGTTGGATCCAACTTGTTTCTACTCAAATCCATCCTGATGAGAACAGGTGCAACTCAGCTGAAATCTTGATGACTGTATACAGTCCCATATGTCACTGCAGAGTGAAAAAAAATGAATAGCATCCAGTAAAATACAAAACAAAATCAAATATGTGGTTTCAGTTACCTCTGCTACTTTGTGCAGTCTGGAAAATACCTTTTGCTCTTGTGAAGTCTGACAACAGCTCATTGAACAAAGCCAATGTGTTTTCAACTGTCTGTAATCAATATTGAATGTCTATACCTGCAGTCATAAACTAGTAATGGGAAACATATCACTGGGAATAAATAGCCATCTCAACCTGCGTGGTCATCTCTGGTTTTGATTAAATTCCTACATTTGCAGCAAAGTAAGCAACAAATTTACAGCTTCACAGGTAAGAGAAGCTAGTTGAATGGTTGCTCCACCTTGATTTGCAGTTCATTTATTTTTATCTATGCCAACACACAAATACGTTGTTACAGGCTTGGAATTTGGAAGAGCTTTCAGTAAAGAAATGATGTTTCCTGATCCCTTTTAAATAGTTAATTCTTTTTCCCAAGGACTATCATCAATTACAGCGAAAAGTGACTTCCAAGAAATTTTTGTCCAGATGAATAAAATATTCCAGAGATGAAATATGTTCATCAAACCAGTTTGGCTCAGAGAACCTGCAGGCTTAAGTTCTTTATTAGTCAGCAAGTTCTTTAACCATTATAAGGAGCTAATCACTCCTGTAAGTCACTACTACTTACCTCGCTGGATGTTCACTTTTAAAAATTGAAAACATCACCTCCAGCTTCATCTGTGTGTTGTTTGACACTGAGCAGCTGCATTTCTAATGATTAGATTTACACCGGGCTTTCCAAAATTATCTTTCTTTAAAGCCTATATAGCTAGTGGCAAAGTATTGTTGATGAACACGTTGACAGCTCAGCGGGAGGGTATTTGTAACAAATCTGGTTGGGAGGTCTCGTGCAGCTCCCTAACCCGCTGGGCAGTATCAGGGAGAGCTCCTGCTGAGACCAGCCCATCATCCGGAGCTATGTGTGCTGTTATACCACCAACAGAAACAGCAGTGACATTTCCATACCCTTCCTTGGGTCTCTCCAGTGACTTGGATCCTGCCATGAGAGCAAAATTTGCCTGGACTTGAGTGGCAGGACCAGGTTGTACTCACATAGTGCAGTAAGGACACCAAGGCATCGCACCGCAGTGTGGGACTGTAATCCTAACAGGTTGCACATGGCATTTTGGATCAGTTCTTCAGTTGTTTGGCTTGATTTAGTTCCCAGCTGACCACAAGAACCTGTTCACAATGCTGCTGATTATTTTACTGCAGAAATTGAGTGCCGGGTTACATTTCAGGCAGGGGGAAAACATAACCTAGATTATGGCACCACAAAGAGGAATGTGATTGTCAAAGATCGTCCATTTCTCACCCCCCTATCTCTGGCTTCTCCTTATACTCATGGAGAAAAGGGGCAGAACCACTGCTTTTTTCCTTCCCATCTCTTCCTACCCTCTGCAGTTACACTTCGCACCTCCCAGGTGTCAGAGCACAGGTCTGCCTGGCCATCACACAGATCCTCATGTCCCCCTTCCACCCCAGTGTGCATTTGTGAAATTACAAGACAAAATCTGGCCCAGAAAGTCCTCACCACTACAATCACTTTCTATCCCTGCTGTCCCTGCTTTCATGAGTACAAACACCTTGTGCCTAAGGGATAGTTACATGAGCTGTTCAGTGTATGCTATGGTTGCTGTATGCAGAGCTTTTACAGGAAACCAGTGGTTTGTACTGGTATCAATCAAGAATAAGCTACAGAATCAGTGAAGGATGCAAAGGAGTTTTGTGAGCTCTATAATTCAGCAGAAAAAGTTGCCCCTGGAGGAACAAGTCGTAGACAAATTAGATTCAACGGTGTCCAAAAATACCTTCACACATTCAGCAGTGAGCTTCATTACTGTAGTCACTTTACTAAGTTAACCAAAGAGATCCAAAACTGAAATACAGAGACTTTGTACAGAATGAGTTGGGAGTACAAATAAACAAAAACAACATTCTTCAAGAAATGGTTTAGTTGTGTTTATAAACATCAATAAATATTGAAAAAGACGTGAAAATTAAAAAAGAAAAAATACTAACAACTTTAAATTGCCCCAAGGACTATATTTATAATTTAAGCTGTTTTTTGATACTTTTGCAATAGGAATTTAATCTATAAGTCCTTATCTAATAAAAAAAAAAAAAGGAAAAATAAAAGTAGTCAGCATATTACTTTTACAAAACCAGGGAAGGGGAGTCACAACTAGAGCAGAAAAATGACACATCCAGTTAGAACCATGTTACAGTTTGGCAGGAATACTCTTAATGAACACCGTGTATGTGTGAGAAAAAGACAGTATCACTATTACAGGCATGAATTGATGATCAAGTGTCATTATCCACTGTCCAAAATGAAAAGGAACATTACTAAAAGGGGAAGTGAAGACTAGAAAAGGAAAGGGGGGGGGGGAAAAAAAAGGAAACTTTAAAAGCCACCTCTTTATAATAGTCTTCTAAGGCAAATGTTGCATGCACTACCTCCCTAAGAAACTAGATAAAGCACTTCCATTCCCCGTGTGTTTCCTGTCATTTACTTTCATGAAGAAAGATTTGAGAGAGCAGAGTGCTGGGAAGAAATACTACAAACCTCTAAATTAGTGAAAGAACTTCCAGCATCACTATTATATTCTGGGTAGGAGGAACTGGAAGAAATTATGTTTTTCAGCCTTTGAAGTGCAATGATCAATAGCAAAAGGAGAAAAGCTAGGAGACTAAGGAATATAGAAACATAGACATAGACGTTGGATAAACGGCCAGGTGATGAATCCACTGAAGTTGAAAGGGATGTGGGATACAGCTCCAGAAAAGTCCCGTTTTCCACATTTCCTACAAATCCAGATGAAGGGTCGAGTTCTGACATTTTTGGGTTTCTGTTTTAAAAATCACAATGGATCTTGGATTCAAAGGCAGTTTTAGCAGCATAACAAAGTGTTTATTTTAGGCGACCATTTTTCCATCACAATGAAGAGATGACAAATCAGCCAGTGATCAAACGTATCCTTCACTGCTCCAGCCCAGGATAGTGTAAGATTGTATCCTTGAGAACTGCAAGAAAAGAAAAAAAAAAAAAAAAGGCAAGATTAATTTAATTTACTAGCAGATAATGTGATTTAATGTGTGCCTGAGACAATCTAGTTCTTCAGAGTTACAAGTTATTATTCGTTAGCACTAAGCTGTTATTCTTAAAGCATTAGCTAACAATCTCTCTATCTCTGTTTTCCAAAATGCAGGGATTAGGACAAATCCTACACAACAACTAATTAAAATTGACCCTTCCCCACCATGAGTTAACTGAGGAACAGCACAATCAAAAACGTACTTTATATGGAACAGACATTCAAATCCAAAATTGTCCTGTGGATAAAAGCTAGTCAAGGAATGTAACATCCCTCTCACAAATTAGCTCCCCAGCCCGGAAGAAGGCTGCTCCACACCACGATGGTTGACAAATCCACTGCCATTAGCCGCTTACTCCATGCTGCCTTGCCAGAGGTACTCAAAATGAGAAAATCTGACAGAACTGCTTTCTTACTATATATTTATGAAATGGATTAAATGATTTCCAAGATCAAAATGCATCTTGGTCTAATGCTGCCACAAGGACCTCAATGGCAGGGAAGTTTCAGTGAAGTGTTGCAGCTTCTGACACCTACAAGCAAAATCCCGAGGAAACAGGCAGCCCTGGCAGCTCAGCAAATGTGAGGGGACTATCTAAGGGCAGTGAATGCTAACAGGAAGAGATCCCACCTTTGAAACAGCTTTGCCTCCAGCCTCTTCGTGTTGGAATCTGGAAGCTCAGGTGCTGGCAAAGGTCAGAGTTGCACAGGATAAGAAAATCTGGGTATGCTAATATGCTTTTCTTCAAACTGACATAGTCAGTCCCCAGGCACAGTCTGGAAGTGTAAGAGAAGGCTTGGTGAATGGGAATTGCTTGTAGAAAGCTGATATGCTGTAGCTGAATACATGGCATAACCCACTGCCTTTGTTTCGATACAAAACAGATACTACAAGGTGCAAACGGGTGGGAAATGAAACTCATTTTCTGCATATAATCATCCACGAGCAATGTTTCTATCCATCCATCTATAGTCAACCTCTCGCTGCAGATACTCAGGCACTACAGGGAAAGGTGGCGAGCTTTCCTCCCTCTAGGAAGACAATATCCCTACAGAACTACATTCCTAGCATGGTCCCTCTCATCTTCACCTTGCTTTCAGCATCGTTCTGTGACCCCAGTTCAATACAATTATCTCTAATTCACGCTTAGAGGCTTTGAGGAAAGTCCCACTGGTGACAGAGAGAGCAAACATTGCCAGCATCAGCCAGAGAGACAGATTCAGGCCCGTAAAGGAGTGATGCGACAGTCCAGGCAGGGTCTGTCCTTCTGTGTGTGACACAACCGCCCAGGTGTCTCTTTGAGTTTCCATGGAAGTGCCCCAGCACTGTTCCCAGCAATGTTCTGCCTTGTAATTTTTCTCTTAAACAACGCTACCACTATTAATTTAGTAGTGTCCTTCTTTCTTCAAGGGGCTGACATTTTTTGACACAAGGTGTGACCACAAAAGCCCCAACCTGAACTAAAGATGCTTAAGAAGGGTAAGGTACTTTTCTGCTGGTGCTTTCTTTTCTGAGAGCACAGAAGCCTTGGAGACGCCCACTGAAAATGCTGTTTGCTTTGCAGTCACTGAAGTTATTTGCATAGCTACCCTCTGCATTTTTGCACTGTCAATTAAATTTAGCAGGTTATGCTATATGCTGTAAAAAGCTGTAAGTGCCTGAGTAAACATGGACTACATTAAGCAGTAGGTAGAATCTAATTCTACATTTTTAAACACTACTTTATTTTCTATACCTCAGAACAACATCTATTGCACTACATAAAGCTATTCTCTGGTCTCGGGGACAACTTGTGTGGCAGGTCCCATGGACAGGATGGCCAAATCAGAGCTGCCTTTGGGAATGAACGATGGGCAATCCTAACTGCAAATATGTTCAGGCATTGCTAGTTGGCCAAAACCACACCAGGAGGTGTGCTCCCTAATTCGACAGGAGAGGTTATGACAGGCCTATGCCCTGGCCTGGGTTAATTTCTAGCATAGACACATCTCTGTTTTCATGGACAAGAGGATACATTCCAGTTGTTGTTTTGCTGTTTGTTTATTTACTGCACTTATTGTTTTATTGTAGAGCTTTGGGTAGTCTTTATCAAACATCCCAATACCCTACAAGATATGCAGGAGTATAAAAAAAATTCCTGGAGGTATTTAAGAGATGTGTGGATGAGGTGCTTAAGGTCATGGTTTTGTGGTGGTATTAGCAGTGTTAATGGTTGGACTTGATGATCCTAAGTCTTCTCCAACCTAAAAGATTCTATTATATTCTATGATTCTAAAACTGCATCTGCAAATACCAGATAAAAATATTCTTACCCTTATTGTATATATATATGCCATACTAATGCATAAAATATACTAAACCAAAACTATTTTATAACCCTAATAGTATTTAGCCCCTCAACAAACTATTGTACCTCTTGAAATAAGTCATCACAGATTGAACAAAGGAAGAGCCTTATAAGATTATACTCCTTTTGAACTGTCTTTAATTTAGTGATGCAAAGTTAACTAATGGAACAATACATGTTCATTTCATGTTCTGGAAGTAGTTAAGTGCGTTATAGCTAATTTATCCTTTTTAACAGATAAGCTTTGATATAGAAGATGTTTATCCTTGATTACTCGTCATAATGAAAAGCAGATCCATTATTAATTGAATTTCTTTATAATAACTTAAGGAATTAATTCACATAAATTCTTTAACATGGCATAAGTTAAAAGCATTTAAATTCTTCACAAATTTGAAATATGTGGCATTTTACTTTTATCATCAACAGTTTTGGCCCTGGTACAAGGAATAACTTTGGCATTGGACTTCCTTTGAAGTTAGTGGAAAATTTATTGTCTTAAAAGGACTAATCAGAATCTCAGTTAGGCAGAGATGTGTGTGCTTTGGTAGATCAGAGACTTTATAGGTTTTACAATGTCAATTGGGCTATTTTTAACCGAGTATTTTGTAGTGAGATCAGAGACACTGGAAATTCTGATTCCAAAAGACTATGGCCCAGATCCTAGTTGCCTCACTCACACTGCACAGTGAAGTGATATGTAAATGAATCTCACCATAAAATATAGCTTCAGCTAAAGTGGCTCTTTGGGTAATATTTTAGGAAGAAAAAAAAATGTGTTGTTTTAATCACACATTTAAAAATACGGACCTAAAGTGTAGGGTCCCACCCAGTCTAAAAGGATTTTACCAACCATCTGTACCCCGTTGGAGTAAAACAGCGAAATTCTATGGAGTGTGAACATATTTGGTCCTGACACCTGAGTAGTATTCATAGAAGAGGTACAAAAAGCGTAGGAAAATAAAATGGGCCTGATCCTGATCCCTGGTACTGTTCCAGCATTGCAATCCTGATGGAGCCAACAACACGGGGCAGGGGTGCAAACGCTGTTCTGGACCACCATGAGATTAAACAGCCCTAGGGCTGCGCAAACCTCTGCCACGCTGCAAATCACACCTCCCACCCTTCAAGAGGGGGGATCCATGAGCAGTTTTGTTTAATGCTACCACTTCAGCTCAGGTTCCTGCTTCTACTGGAAGAAGGCGGTAAGTGGCATAACCATTTCTCTCTCTTACCCTAATCCTCCCAAAGGAAAAACACCCAGTATAGCCAGATGTCAGCTTCACCTTCTTGTTTGGTAATTGGTTTTATGCTTTCCTGAAAACTAAATAGAACAACATCAAAGCATCAAGCCCAAACCTGGTCCCCCCAAAAAATTATTGGGAGTTCTGTCACTTACTTCAAAGTATAATAGTAAAATCAAAAGTGACTGACTTTCAGTAAGACCATTGTCTTTCCAAGAGCCATAAACCCATCAAGGAATACAACTAAGGAACTAAAGTTTTCAAATACTGTAGTGGTCCTTATTTCTCCCGTGTTTATTGTTAGAATGTTGTTTTGGTTTAAGGCAAAGACTTAATTAAAAGTGCTGTTGCTGAATGACTGGACAGGGAGAGGAACTCTGACAGGAGAAGACTTCCCAAATAACCAGTCCTGAAAACTCCTGAGACAGGAGAACTGGGACCTGTGTGCTGGGGCACTAATTCCGTGGTGTAGCTGTATCCAGATTACTTTCTCAGAGGCACCTCTGCAATCCCAGCAGAAGGATGCATGGCTTGAGGAGGCTTCCTGAGTCATCGAGTCCAGTCCCACTGATGAAAATCCCAGGTCATACTCTGCCTTTCCAACGCCAGCTGAATTTTCCTGCTGCTACCACTCCACTATTACACAGCCTTGTTGCGCTGGTGGGCAAGCTGCTTAGACAGATTCATGCATTTCAATAAAACAACCCACTGTACCAAGAAGGCACAGACTCCACTTGCACACTCTGCTGGCTTTAGATGTACAAAAGAGCAAAACCTTGGTTTGCTACTTTAATCCCCAAATATGAGGGCTGGCATACACAGAAAGGCTCTGCTAGACACATCGTGTCATCTGCATATCTTCACTTTTCAACCAGAAACACTGTTTAAATATTTTCTTCCTGCTATGCATTGTTCATCCATTCATGTCCTCAGTATAAATCACTCTTCATAGCTGAGGACAACCACCCTTATTCCAAGGGTAGGACTACCTGGACAATACCGTAGGCAGGCTTAGTTGGGGTTTTCATCTTTTCTTTTATCCCATAGTAAGTGGGAGAAAGGCTAATTGGCATTCATCAAAAGCAGGGCAAGCTGGGTAGGTGAGGGATAAGCAAGCTGTCACTATGTAAGAGCTAAGTCCCAGGTACCACG